GCTGAGTGGTTATGCTGTTTGTGGTAGTGTTGTATGCACATTATATTGGAATTTTGTGGCCTGGATGAGTGAATGTGGTCATTAGTTCTCCTTTTGGGAGGGGGCAAGAAGAGGGGAATTTCTCCATTTTTATCACTGTATCCCTTTTTCTTGGGTCTGTTGGGTCTGAAGCTCACACATGGATGTGAACCAACTAATGGTAGTCTAGAAGATAGAAACTGAAGTCTTCGAAGACCATGGTTCCTGGGCCTCTAAGGAAAGATAGAAGCAACCTGATTGCTTGATCTAGAGAAGTGTTGAAGAGGAATCACAATATGCTTCAAATACACGGCAGGGTACTGCAGAGAGGAAGGGAATAAGGCACTGTCCATATCTGCTGAGAGAACGCTGGAAAGTAACGGACATAGGTTGCTACAGCACAGGGACAGCTTAAGGGAGACAGTGGGGGAACCGCTCTAATCACAGGGAGACTTACCTGTGTAAAAGCATTCTCTGAGGAAGTTACTGCATCTCTGGCAAGTTTTCACAACAGCTTCTATTCTCCACCGCATTCCCTACGTCGTACCTCTTGTTATTCCAAAAGAAGTGCATAATTTCTGGTAAACTTTCTTTCCCAACCAGTCAGTCAGTCAGGTGCTTGCCTGATCCCCCAAGAATGTTACACAACTCAGGGACCACCCGTCAGTAGGCAGTAGTTTTCACTAAGCTGGTTTTCACAGCAGATGGAAAAGCCCATCTTGACTTGAGATTTCTTTCTTTATTTCTCAATGAGTGGTTTATTAGGGTGTTGGTTCTACTTGTAAATCATTTCACTTTTAGTTGCATTTGAATTTACTTTACATCGTTATAACAAGTAACAATAGGAATACTATAGTAGGAGATGGCTTATAGACACTGTGGTAAGCTGCAGTCTCCACTAGTTGCTCAGCTTCTCACTACCATATTTCTTGTCTGTGAAGAGAGGCAGGCAAAAAGGTTGTGCAAAGCACCTGTTAGATATCTGGAAAGTCTGTTTCTCACTGCAGAAAGCTTTACTGAAATAAAAAAAGAAATTATTAAGAAAGCTGAGATGATTTTTTTCCAGTGCTTAGCAGAACTACACCACTTCTGGCTGCCTGAGTACTGCAAACTCAAAGATTTCTTATGAGCAAATTCTGCATAGCTGGAATAAAAATGTGGCATCAAATGAGCAAGTGTTCCAGGGAAGGATATTCTAGCGTCTTCTGTAAGATTTTCTTATCCATTTCAAAGTATTCCATTTGAGCACTAAACTATAAGGTCCGCAAATTATTCAAGAGAGAATATAGTTCTTTCTGGGAATGACTTGTCTGTAATGGTACGTCCCTTTCTAGTTATGGTGGAGACAAGAGTGTATCTGCTTGTTTTCTAATGTAGGCAAAAAATATTTTAGAAGACTCTTCCTGCTTCCTCTCAGAAAATAGGTGTAGAGAGATTTTACAAGTGAACAAGGGACAAAACCCAGTCTGCCTGGGGGGCAGCCACATCAAAACCAATGGCAGCTGGTTCTGGGAGTAAGGCCACAATCCAGCCCACCTACCCCAGTCCATTGCTTTAGGATGCAGGCTAGGTAGGATGCTTAATGTAATGGATGTCCTAACCAAATGGATGGGGCATATCACTTGCCCAAGAAGTCTGGTGGTTAGAGGACCTGCATAATAACTAGGTTGTTATGGCAAAGGGGAGACCAGTTTCTCGACCCTAGGGATGGTGTTCAAGTGTAGCTTCCCACATGTTCACATTTTATATGAGGCCCTCAACAAATAAAAAATGGGACCGGAAGGGTCAGAAGCCTTAGGCTTGCCCTCTCAGCTGAGCATCATAACCAGGAGGCTGAAGTAAAGCTCCCTCTACTCTGCCTGGCTACACAGTGGCTCAGCTTCAAGGGGAGACATGAAGTTACTCCCAATACCTGTTAGTCTGAATACCTAGTGGCCTTAGCTGCAGAAGGCACGGATCCAGTTTTCTCAGGCTGATTTAGGTCTAGAGCTGAGGGTCTCCAGCTTTCTGCTGAGTGCTACAATCACTTGACTGTTTGCAAAAAGTCACTGGAGCTGTCATTGCCTGGGCTGAGTCACAGTCTTCATCAGATCTAACCACTGCCTTCCTTCAGAGGTTTAAGTAGAGTTTAAGTATATGCTTAAACCTGGTCACAGGAGAACTTTAGATGTTCACGTCCATGGAAGAAGCAGCGTGGGGAGGTGGTCATCTAGAGGCTGGGGTGCTGAGGAATGAGGGCATCTAGTAGCTAGGAAAGTCTTGTGAAGAAAGGGACAAGAGCCTTGTTTGGAGGCATGTAGGTTTTTCTGTGAGGTTCTTGTTGGATGTTAGGGTTCACTTTTTTTTCTTATAGGAAGCTGCAAAATGTCCTTATTTTTTAAAACAACCAACTGAACAAAAACTTTACTCTTCTTACAGTCACTGAACGTCTACTCAGTTTTAATTTAAATGGTGATTTGATTCCAAGTTAAACTGATTTCACACTGAGTTCTAGATGTGTTGAATTTGGAAGGTGGGTTTTGCACTGCATGCTGGGTTTTTGTGCCTGCTAGCAATCACTTCTGACCAACATAAATTATTTTTCTATACCTGAAATAATTTTTTTTTTTGTTTGAAGTGGAGCACACCATTAGGTGGTTACTGATACTTCTATGGCAGAATGGAACAGGTGCTGGGCTGTTGTGTATGCAGAGCTAGGGAAGAACATATGAATATTTTTAGATGGTTCAAAAGTTACATGATAATAGCCATTCCAGACATTTACTTTAAAACAAAACACTTCATAATAACACTAGAGTTACACTGTACTCATATAAGCAAGCAGAAAATTTAAAAATTCCTTTAAAATGCTTTCACTTGCTTCATTATAACAGTAGCTATTGTGACTCCTCTATTGAATGAACGCAAGGCTTTTTTTTCTGTTATGCCCTTTGTCTCCCTTGAGCCCTTCCACATTTGAAAGTTACACAAATTATTCTTTTCCAAACCTTGAATGTTATGAAGATGCTTCAGCCAGAATGGGTGTTCTGGATTTGGATTTAAATTCTAGAGATTTCTGATATCGTTGACTAAAAATATCGATCCAAATTTATAACCTGCATTCAAATTGAGATCTTAGTGATCTGAATGTGAAGATACTTTGCTTGTGAAAGTACAGGGAAGTGGCTCATACAATTGAATATGGAAATTTGCTACAGATTACATACTGTAAAGATCTCTAACATTTTTATCTTGCTATAAGAATGCTTATTTCTACCTTATTCTTGATACAAACAACTAGTCTGGCTGTAACAGTTCCTTTCTATTTTTAAAACATGCTGAAGCAAAACCTAAGCCTGAACTTTTCCATATTCTGGAAATATCAAAATAAAGATCCAAGTCCAGTGACTTGAATCTGTTTTCTCTTTCAGGGCTTTATTTGCAATCATTCACATCTGTCTTCTGTCAGTATAATTCTTTGAAGCCATTAGAGTTACGCTGCTATAACTATAGCAACATCAGGATAATCCGTTCCAGAGTTGTTTTCGGGGAGGGCCAAGCGTCCCACAGGTGTGAAGTCTGTGGAAGCCAACATAGCCATCCTGATTTGAATGCTCTGCAAGCAATACATTCACATTCTTTTCATTTTTAGGGAAATCAATTTGATTTGATCCAGTAGGAAATAATTCACAGTAAAATTCCAAATTATTAGTGCAGTGCTTGTGCTTAAAACAACTTCTGCTGCTTCCTAGTGAATTGCTTTCATGTGCGGTGCAGCTTTAGAGTGGTGCTATTAAAGTGTGTTTGAAGGTGTTTTTAGACAAATAACTGTGCAGTGTTCTTAAATGTGTGAAAACCCTGCCCCTTTCTCCTCTGTGTTGCTGAAGCATTGCCATCACTAATACAGTTCAGTCTCTGTTTATGTCTGTATGACGTTACTGTGTGCAAATTCATGTTTGCAGTATAACTCCTTTACTGTATGTTTACGTTGGCATTCAGAGCTTTGCGTGATTTCCTGAATCAATAACAACTTGCATATTTTAAAAGTGACAGATTTATCTCAAAATTTGAAGGTGGTGATACTTAGACTGGCAAATGTTTTAATGTTTTTATTAGCTTCTGTTACATCAGCTATTTGGGAATGAAACTTTCAGAAATCTCCAAATAAGGAGAACATAAACCGTTTAGCTTTGTTTCCAGAATATACTGATTTTCATTTCAAAAAAGGTGAATTTTCATATAGGTTTTATAAGCAGGTCAGTTATTCTGTGCTTTTAAAACTAGGAGAAAACCTGCAAAGAGAATCCAGGAGGCTATCAGTTGATTGCAAAACTCTGCAGGAATGAATGTAAACATCAGAGTGAAAATGTTCATTTTCATCATTCGTAGTTCTCTTTCATTCTTCATACCAAGTGATACTTTTGCTTTCACGATTCCTAACTTCCAAAAGAGAATGACTTTACGTTTCTGTGTTAGTCTTTATTGTGTTATTTTAGCGTGATCACAATGACGATCTCTTGGAAAAGATGGTATGTGAGGATATGTTCCCCTTGCAAAGCTTTTGCCGAAGCTGAGGGTAGAGAAATCTGAATATTCCCCAAAGATACACAAGCCAGTGGCCTAAATATTGTCATTAGTATTTTCTCTCTCTTTGTTGGAATTGCATGGGGAGGTAAGGAAACTCCAGTGTCATTTCCTCTAAAGAAAAGGGAGCTAATAAATAAAATAGTAAATAAAAGCCATAATATTCTCCACCGGTGTTCTGTAAAGGCAGCAGCTGAAACATAGGGAATTGTTTGCTTGAACTGTCTTTTAAATTCTCAGAAAACCCCAGAACTCAGAATTAGATCTTCTCCTCGATAGCCATGCAGTGGGCCTGCCCTGTCAGACAAGGAACCAGCTAGACCAGTAGCTGCTCGGGGCTGCTTTCACATAAATGTCACAATGACGGTTGGCTCAATTGTTCTTGTCCTTTTGCAATGCATGCGGTTTTGTGGCAGTAGGTTACATTTCCAGACGGGCAATGCTTCAGCAATTACATGGAATCAGTACATTCTCACACGACGAGCGTCACTACACTGCTCACATAAGGATGAACAAAGGTAAGACTGAAAAACACTGGCTTCGTTTTTATCCTAGCATGTAAGTGGAAGTGTCCTGTCTGTTTCTGTCAGTGAGGTGGGTAGCAAGTTAGAGGTTTTGCTTCTTTTTTTTTTTTTTTTTTTTGGATTGGACGCATTCGACTTGCACGCTGTTGCTTATAACTGGGATTTAACAGTCAAGCTAGTGTTGTGATTCTTGAGTGTCCGTCTGCATCTTACTAACCCACACAATGAGTTCAAACATTCTGAAGAAAGCACAACTACGTTTTGGAGTAATGGTATTTATAGAGTGTGGTTTTAACCCCTGGTATGTAGCTGCAAATAGTAATGCTTGTTCTCAGAGCTGTAGCCTAATAGCCTGGACAGCAGCATCTCCCAAATCCTATTCGCTTACTAGCTGTCAGTGGACACTGGACCCCTTTGATGGTGCTGTCAGCTCCTGTGCTCCCAGGTGCAGGAACAGCCTGGAGACCTATTTAGAAAAAAAGAAGAAGAGCAGTAAAAATGCACAGCTACAAGGGGATGAGGAGGAAAAAGGACATGCTAGACTGAGAAAGAGACAACTGGGTAGGAAGAGAGGGATTGCAACAGTTGGATATAAGCCTCAGAAAAAAGGGAAAACTGGACCCCCTCAAAGCCAGAGGCAATTTAGGAGCAAGAGCATTTGAGAAAGCGTCATGCTGCAGGGTATCCTCTAGAGGAGGAGAAGAGGGAAAGGGCACTGAGGAGCGGAAAGGTATTTGCCTTTGACAAAGAAGAAGAGATAGGAGAAATAAAATGAAGGTAAAAACAGAAATGAAAAGGGCAAGGTTTAACTCATTAAAAGGAGTTATACTTCAGTTTCCTGACGTTACTTTACAATATAATCAACTGCTAAGCTGCCACAAAAAGCTGTTAGGTGTTCCCAGGTGAGAGAGGTGACTTCCCACATGTCAGGAAAAGGAGAGGTGGACCCCATGAGGCATTCATTTTATTGAAAAGCAGTCGACAATATGAAGACGCCTGAGAAAACCTTTAGCCTGATCCAATATAGCATAGACTGTATTCTGTATAACTGAGACGTTCTTTGCATTAACAAATTGTAGCAGTAGGAAAAAAGTCTTGAAAGGTATCACAGAATTGTTTAGGTTGGAAGGGGCCTCTGGAGATCGTCTAGTCCAACCTCCCTGCTCAAGCAGGGTCACCTAGAAGTATAATGTAATGTTGAATGTGAGAAATTACACAATAAGCTGATCCATTATCTTGATAGCCTCAGCAAGTTAGTTGACACAGACACCCTTGCGAAACTTAAAGTATCAACTTTGGAAACAGTGTCACAGTCGGTTTTTTAACTAGCCCATCCCTGTGAGGTAGGACTGCTGACCTCTAGAGGAAAGGTGTAGGCAGAAATGAGACGGGGGTTGTTGAGACAGCCAAATCCACAGAAACCATGGTGTCTGCCCAGGTTTGTAAAATAATTCCATGTAGTCAGTCTTGGGGATTTCTCTAACTTAGGAACTTAGGATGTAGGAGCTAAAATAAAGGTTTGTAAGGAAAAATTCAATGTAAAAAAAAAAAAAAAAACCTTTTTTATGATGCAATGTAAATTTAGGGGGAAATCTAGAATCATTAAACCCCACAGATGAAAAGGAATGCTGCCAAGGTAAAGGTTGTCCCTTCTGTGGGAAAGTGGCCAAGAGAGAGAGTCTTACAGAGGTTTGGCAATCTGACCTCCTAGAAGAGGATGTGCCCATAGAAGTAGAAGGCATAAAGGTAACCTGCCCAGCCAACTTGGGGACCAGAGAGCCTTGTGCCAGAGGGCTTCTATGGACAAGATGAATGTTCCCGGGGGCTTCCAAGGGATAAAGGCCTGTATCTGCAGGGACTCCAGATTCTAGGAGCAGCAGCAGCCTGGCTCCTTACTGAAGCAGGGAAACCGCATAAACTTTGTTTGGCCTTGGGTTACAGAAAGCTCTTGCAAGTGATCATGGTGCTGGTTCAGAATCATGCAAAGAGATGTGTTTTAGCTGATGGTCTTGCTAGTCACCCTTGTGCAACAGAAGGAAAACATGAGAGAAAACTCAGGATTTGGCAGTAGCCTTAAGGATTACTACAGATTGGCAGTGTTTGTACAGGACAGCTTTTAGCAGATGGGAACATCCTTTTAGAAAATATAAATCCTGCTAGAAAAGACTGTGGCAAGTTTTTACAGTTTCCCAAAGAAAGTATTTTTGTGTTTCTCTCAAATATAATGGAGTGGTTCCTAAATAGAGAATTTGGGGTGTAGTCTTTCTGAGAAAGAAGTCCCAGGGAATAGGCCTAAATTAAATTTTAACCCAAAAATCTAGGAACAGGAGAGATTTCTACTTTTTTTTAGAGCTAGCCAATAAACTCACATAGTGATTGCGACCTTTCTTAAGTTTTGCTTTTCTATTCAGATATGTTTAATGATATCAGAGTTTGAGAGATGTGTCATGTTGGAATTTCACTTTGAGTAGGGTATGTAATAGAAAATGGCACAGTATGTTCCCAAAAGTGTCCCGAAGATTATAGCTGTTAATGTCAGTTCTGCTAAGAGGTATTAGTTAACTGTACTGCACAGGAGCAAGGAACACTTCTTGTTATTTAAGGGAAGGAAAAAACTTGATGACACACACAAATGGCACATCATGTATTTTAAGTTCCTTATACGTCGCCTACACTAACTGAGCAGATGCATTTGTCCTTTCAACATTGTTCTCAGTTTTAGCACCAGTATATTTGAATGTAATGTCACTGTGATAGTAATACACTTCTTAAAGAGAAAATGAAATATATAATAATATATTTTTAAAATTAAGTATCCTTTGGGGGGGAGGAAAAAAAAAAAAAAAAAGTGAGGCCCTGAAAATCTCTGCCGTGAAATTGCTGCCCACCCCTCCTTTGTCCAGCACTTGTCACAGTGCTCAGGAAGGAGCTGGGCCGACCACTCCACAGCAGGAGAAGTGCAAAGTGCTTGAGGTTATAGGAGACACTAATTCACAAGGTATTAGAAGGTGTGTTTGCACAGGAATAAACAATCCCAGTTTTATGCAGACACATTTAGCAGTATCAAGCCAGAACTGGACAGAAGCAAGAATGCCACGCAAAGGCGATACAGGCTGAGGAGAAGCTGATGCTTGGAAATGCGAGTAGGCATAAGTTTCTCCTCCATCAGAGTGAGGCTCAAGTGCCAGGGAACGCTGCCCTGTGAAGCTCCAGTCTGACAAGTTGTGGATGCACTTGAAGGAGAAGCTGTTACCAAGTGCGAATGAGCAGAATGAAAATGAGCCCCCAGCACTGTGTGCCAGCTTGTAAGGTGGCATATATAGTAACATCTGTTGTGGTTGTAGTAATGCTTTGCCTTGGTTTTCTCCAGTCATTCCCAGGTAGTTTCTGGGAAGAGGATAATTCTAGCAGCTAACATGGAGTAATCTTGGTAAGGGAACGTACTGCTGGAGCATATTGTCCGAGGAAGAGATTCACCAGCCAAACTCTGCCGTTTCTGGTGGAGAGCAGGACAGCAATGCAATACAATAGTTTAGTCCAGATTTAAGTTTGAATATTACAGCGAGTCCTTTTCTAATTTTATTCCTCTGCCATGACAGGAAGCGTTCCTCTTAGTCATTTCTACTGGCTCTGAAAAGACAGCTCTTTCTTCTGAGGTATAAGAAGGATAATTTCAGTTTCAAACACAGATCTAGTGAGTAGTGATAGGCTCAGAAACAAGCTTCTTATCCCAGGTGCAATAGCTCCAAATATTCCTCCATCTGCAGGGCCTGCTCGCCCTCTCATTGCTTATGTTGCAGAAGAACATGGGAGCTTTCCAACGGTCTAGACCAGCTTATGACTCCAGGTTGTTAGGCATTAGCACTAGCACAAACTGTTTTGCAAAGACTGTGCTAACAGCCATCCCTGCTTTTGTCTTCCCTCTGGCTCCTTGAGTATTCAGTAACTTTTTCACCTCAATGTGCTTTTTAGCTTCCTGTGTGCTGCCACTTACACTTCCTGGCAATGGCAGGAGCTCCCTTGCACAGCTTTTGTTTTCCTCGATGCAAAGCAAGGCTGAGTGAGGAGAAACTTGAACCCTGCAGGAGTCAGGCCATGCTCGTTGTCATTTCTCCATACACGCGTATTCGCAGTGAGGACAATATGGCACTATCCTCAGCTGACACTCGATGTCGCCTGCTAAAGCATAGGGCAAAAGATGAACCTGTCGGAGCAGGCTCACTGTGCAGTTGTTGCCAAAGAGGCAGAGCAGGCTTTTCATTTCAGTGCCTGGGAAGCCAGAATTGGTTTGCACCCTGCGATGTTTCTGAGGCTGGGATCTGCTTTAGCAATGGGCGTCCTTTCCCCACAGAGCAGTTATTAATAGGCTGACAATAAATGATGGTTGTGAATACAGTGCTACTCATCCCTAGGGATGAAGACAGCAGCAGGGCAAGGGACATATTCTGAAGTGGGTAAAGGCTCCTCCCTTCATGTCCTGCAGCGATGAGATACGTGGATTAATTTTAAATGTATCGGTAACATATGGGTCTAAAATTATTTCATGCTATTTAGAACAAGTCCTTTGAGCTGAGGCTGTTGTAAATTCTAATTAGGCTATGCTAATCTCCATAATAAGCAGCTATTTCTAATGCAGAGCTATCTGATGAGGTCTGCCAGTATCTTCCACCCTTATTTATATGCTGGCAGGAAGGTGGTATCGTGCTAGTATCAGCATGTTTGCCCAGGTTATAAAACTCAGTATTTCCTGTATTCTACCATATGTGCTGAAGGCTTGTGTCTGTTCTAAGATTGCCAGCTTATGCCTGTTTGATTGTATTTATTTATGCAGAGAACCGAGAAAACTCCTTCAGCCGTTCCCGAAGCTCCAGTGTGTCCAGTATTGACAGGGACTCCAAGGAAGCAATTACAGCTTTGTACTTCATGGAGTCCTTTGCCCGGAAGAATGACTCTGCTGTCTCCCCCTGTCTCTGGGTTGGAACAGGCCTTGGTATGGTCTTAATCCTCTCTCTTAATCTGCCTGCTAGTGATGAATTACGGCAGACAGAGCCAGTCATGGTCTCACCAAGTGGTAAGAGTTCATCTATTTATTGTCTTGGTACAACAGAAGGAATAACTGTATGATTTTGTACGGCCTTTCTGACAAAAATTTCTCAATAAATTTATCAAACAATGGTAACTCACTACCTTGAGGGCACCAAGGTACAAATTGATGCTCATGAGAGACCTGTAACTTCAAGAATGAAGACACTTTGGTTGTGTTCGTCTTGAAGATTACCGTAGACCTTGGGCAAAGTTACCTATGTTTCTTGCAAGGATATGGAAATTAGCAGAGCTTCGTCAGACTCGGCAATTAGAGTTCTGTGCACAGCTCTGACGCGATCCTGCCTGCAATGCTGTGAACAGTTTGGCTCTCTTACTATCGGGAAGCTACAGAGAAACAGAAGGGACCTCAGAAAAGGAAACAAAAACGTTGGCAGGTTGATTTACCAGGAGCGATTCTTGGCTGAGTGAGTGACAGATGGTAGAGTAGAAAGAACAGAGGGCAAAGAGAGGGCAGGTCTGAGGAGAGGCAGTATGTGTTTAGCATGGTTGAAGGAAAATAATGACAAAGACCAGAGGATACATAGGAGTGCATCTCTTCAGGGAAACTATAGGAGTGCCCCTGAGTTTATTAGAAAAAAACAACACTGGAAGGTCACACAACTAATGAGAGCGATTTTACTTGAAAGAGGGAATCAATGTCCTGCTAGCATAATGTAGATAAAAACAGCCTATCTTTATCGTATTCAACAGCACGTATTATAGACAGTGTTTGATACAGGCTGCCTGAGATTTTTTCAGTTACCACAGCGTATTTGTTCACCTCCCTATGTGGTCAGGAAGAACTGAGCTAGAAAGACCTGTTAACTTTTAGCTAGATTACCGTCTGCTGTGTTTACAAAAGACAAACCTGAACGTCAGCTATGCCTCATGTGTTCACAGTACTGACAACCCGTTTTATTTTAGTGCCAGTGCCAGTGAGAAGAAATTATATTTTGCAGGCACAGTCCTGACACTGAAAGGAGCAGTGCTGACCTTCGCGTGCTTGGACTGCATGGGGACCCTGACACATCCACCGTATGAAGTGTGGCGGGACCCAAACAGTGCTGATGATGGGGAAAAAACAAGAAAAAGGAGACTTGTCATGCATTCCCCTTCCTCTTCCCAGGACATGGGTGATCATCAGTTTGCAGTCATTTGTTCAGAAAAACAAGCCAAAGTCTTCTCAATGCCCTCCCAAACATGTCTTTATGTCCACAACATCACTGAAACATCCTTTTTATTGAGAGCAGATGTGGTCACCCTCTGTAACAGCGTCTGTCTGGCTTGCTTTTGTGCCAACGGGCACATCATGACATTGAGGTATTTATCTAACTTATCTTATGGCAAAACTAAATGAAGAAGTGGCACAGTGCTGTCACTTCCCACTTGCACTTGCTCCGACATGTGCTTACAATGGTTGATGCTCTGTATTAACTCCCTTGAGGCTGCATTTAGTGCACATCTAATACACAGTTAAGTACTCCACTGGGAGCTGCCTTGCCCATTGCCCCCCTTTTCCACGCTCAGCCTCTACCTGGGCAGTTCTTAGGAACTTTCTCACATTGAAAAGTAATGGCTGATGATTTTCAACTATCCTAAAAGAAAACTGTGATAATGTTGCTCAATTACAGTACCTCAGGGATAGAGCAGTAAAGAAAGCTCAGGTATAGAGATGGTACTGTTTATCCAGTGGGAAGTAGCAACCCCCCCCCCACCACCACCACCACCCCTCACCTTAGCAATTCAGCGTAACTGCTAGTCAGGACACCTTGTTTCACTTCCTCACAGTTGCCACCGTTGAGCTGACTGCGCAGTATCCTTGTAGCGCCTCACCACTCCCACTCTCCTCTTGCCAGGTCAGATAAATTTTGGAAACTGCTGTCCTCTTCTACAGCTAACAAAGGTGAAACAGGAGAAGCTGGAGGACAGCAAACAGGAAGCAGGAACTTTTGCACCCAGGCGTGAGCAGCGCCATCCCCTGTGGTAGCTGGGGTAGACAGACCTTACCCCAGTGCTGCAGCCTGCAGAGCCCCCGCCCCAGATGTGTGGCACAAGCCACGCTGTGTTTCAGGCCTGTCCCAAATCCATAAAGCAGTAGAAGCCTCAGGATCACTGAAACCTCTCCACGCAGGAAAACAAAGTATGAACGAAAGGTGCTGTGTTTATGGCAGAGTTTTTTCCCCCCCATTCCATTTAAGAAAAACCATAAACTGATGTGTGTGTTTGAAATGCAGCCATAGAGCAGCTGGACCACGCGTGACAATTGGTGACTAACGCAGGTATCTGCTTCCCTTCAGCTTGCCCAGCCTTCGCCCACTGCTGGACATCAACTATTTGCCTGTAACAGATATGAGGATAGCGCGGACCTTTTGTTTCACGAATGAAGGGCAAGCTTTGTACCTCAGCTCTCCCACAGAGATCCAGCGCCTGACATACAGCCAGGAGATGTGTGACAACCTACAGGTAGGGTTTCAACCCTTACATGTTTGCTTGCCTTTGTGTTTGTGTGGGAGGGCCAGCAGCCTGCCCAGTGATCTCAGCATGTGCGAATTATCAGGTTATCTGGAGTGGCACATGTGTACTGGTGAAGTTCTCAAAGCAACATTTCATACCAGTCTATGATTTGTACTCAGAAGAGAAATTATGAAATGGTTTAAAAAAATTAGCATTACCAGAGATGATAACCTGGTGTCTAATAGCAAGCAGACATGTTGGTGAAAAAGACTTTTCTTCTAGTATTTTTAAGTGAGGTCTGTGCTGCAGGAACAGGACAGACAGATAGATGCCTTTCTGCTTGCCTCGTGTGAATCACACTACAGAGGCAGAGTTGGGGTGAGCAGCTCAGCTGCTATTGGGACTTTGTCATGATACTGTCACCTTGCCCTGGCTTCTGTGCCCTAGGGGCTGGCCTGAGTCCACAGCCTGCCCTCACGTAATTGCAATTTCTGCTGGCTCTCTGCATGGCCACATTTGAACCCAAATGGGACTCACCACAGCCTGCTTCTCTCAAGAGTCCCACTATATCAAAGACCAACAGTTTAAAAATGACTGAAGGGGAAGTTACAAATTTATAGTGGCTACAGCAATTGGTATCAGCATGTATCCAACTGCACAGAAACTGCCTTAGTGAAGATAGTATTTTGCATGTTTTATCATTTCTTATTTTACTCTAAAAATATCTTCATACCTGCAGCATTCAGTAGACAGGTGGAGCACAGGAGAAGCC